CTCGCTTCTCCTTGGCCTGTGTCCCCCTTCTCTCTCCTTCTTCCCTTGCTGCACTTACTTAGAGCATTATAACCCATGTCCAATTACTATTTGCACACAATTAAGCATTGTATTAATTCCTTGCTCGTCTTGTTTTGCAATCCAAGGGAGAGAGATATGTTGCCTATATTGTGGCAGTGTTCTTTTTTGTGTCTGCTTCTTTGTCTGTTTGTAGGCACGTCATGTAAAACCCTGGGATCCGCTTTTGACCTTCAATCTGGCTCTGGTGCAGAAACGCATGGCTGTTTTGGTCCTGAAAGATGAGGCGAGCAGTTTTGCAGCCGTCTGTGAGGCCATCTCTGATCTCAGCATGGCTAGATGGTGAATCGGTTCGGCAAATAGACTGTGCATTTCACAAATATTTTACCGTCATAGACGTTCTACCTCGACTTAACTAATTTCGGAGAGGAATAAACTAAGTAGGTGTAAAAAATAGCAAAGAGAAGGATTTGAGTGGGTATTTTGTTTGCCCTTCTGCGCAGCACCTTCGAGCACATTTCCAAGTCGAGTGAAATAGTCAACCAGTCGATATCACTGGATGAGGCTCGAGCCTGTCATGATCTGTTGAGTCAGGCCAAATACCATCTGGATCGGGCGAAGTCGCGTGAAGAACAAGAGCGTCTCTTCCGTCAGCGCCAGGTGGGCCTCACTTGCGTGCTTCATTAGATATCGTTGAGTTTCGGTTTGTGTAACAACTTGCCGATGCGTGATGGCAGGAGGAGGAGCGTGAGGCACAGAGAAGGAAACAGGCAGAACTTCAAGCGAAGGCGGAGGCTTTACGACTAGAGCGTGAGCGCCGACTGGAAGAAGAGCGTGGAAAGTTCATTGAGAAGGCCAAGCAGATCAGTTTGGAGTCTTCAGCTCTAGTACGTTCAATAACCAAAGACAAAGTCTTTTACTCCATGCTCTGGTGCATATACATATGTATTTTAATTATATTAATAGGAGAAGAAATTGAGAAAGAGCGCCAGTGGAAAGAAACGAGGTGGCGATGAGGATGGATTCATAGATGATGATGTCGAGGGTAGCAGTACCAGTGAAGATGATGGTAAACAGGGAAATTTAGTTGCAGAGCCTGATGATGGAAGTGGCAAAAAGAGTGTCAAACGCGTCAAGAAGTCATTGCGAGGTGGTGTGGAGGCAAAGTGTCGGAAAACGTCCTCCTCAAAGGACTCTAGTGAGCGCCATCGTAGTCACCACCATCACCATCATCACCACCACCATCATCATCACCAGCACAGCAATGATGAGGAGAAGTTGTCGGCTCGACAACGAAGTCGTGTAGTCAGTAAGGCGTTAATTAGTGACGAAGATGACTCTGGCAGTTCGAGTGGAGATGAGGATGTTGAGGAGTCGAAAATTCGGCATCAGAAGTTGATGGAAGCAAAGAAGGAGGAGGCGGAGGGTGTGGAGAACAGCCCCTCACACGAAGGAAGGCGAAGAAGAAGAGATGCTTTAGATTCGCTCAGTGAATCTTCGGCCGACAAGGAGGTGGTAAATGAAGATGGTGACAAAGTTGAGGAAGTGGAGAACAAGAGGAGGAGAAGGAGGAGTGTAGAGGACGAAGAAGGTAAACGAAAGAGCAGCGGAGACGACTCGTCAGACAACGATGATGGGATAGGTGGAACTGCCAAACGAGCTCGTATGCTGGAGAGCAGTAGTGGCAACAGCGGCAGCAGCAGCAGCAGCGACAGCGAGGCAGGTGATATCGAAGAGCGGAAAGCTGTGAAGACTTCACCGGAGAAGAATGCTGCTTCTTGGTTGGCATCCTCGTCATCGTCTTCGGGAGACGAGACTTAAAATTGCATTGCATTGTTCTTCACTTCTCTTGTCCATGTGTTTGCTGTCCTTCATCCTCTCCCTTCCTTTGCCTTTTTGATGAGAAAGAGGGGAACCGCGTCT